CCGAAGCATTTACGTCACGGCCTTTAAAATTTATTTCACCTACCACCCCACATTGAGATTTTTATACAAATGGCAATATTTTGACATCGTAGGTTCTCAAACTTTTTCGTCCGTCATTCACCATTCATATTGTAATTAGCCACATTATCTATCTTTTTACTTTCTTTAAATAATTTACTGATTATTAGTAATGGGATTTAACAACCCCATTGCTAGCAATACACCTTATCCGGTCGACCTCCTCGCGTTTCCCCCGGAAACTATAGTGGTTAACTTTTGAGGAATTCGTCACGTTGGGCAAACTAACCTGATTTCATCCTCACTGGTGCCCCGCCAGCGTATACCGATAACGCAGGCGAGGTTACCATTCCATTCTCACCCCATTAAAATAATATATCTATCTACCTACAACGTGTAGCGATGTATTTACTGCGCATAGTGTGATAGATAAAGTATAAATGTTACATGTACAATTAGGTCGTTAGTTACTTATCTAATAAAACATTGGAAGATAGTAAAAACATCTTATTATGAGCTGCCGTCAAGAAAATAATATTAACAAAAATTTAAGTACCGACCTACTTTAGGTGGTTAAATAAGTATATAACGCATTGTATAGATAGGTACTTGAGTATGCTGGTTGGTAGTTTGGGTGCCAAATTAATGGACTCTAGTTTCCGACAGGAAGTAACCTTTCTCCGTATCTATCTGTGGTATTATAGCTCCCAAAGTAGTGGTTCGATTTCAATGGGTTTTTTTTTTTTGCTAGAAAGTACACCATCACAGTAATTAAGATCAAAAACAATATTACAACTAAAAACATGAGTTTAGATGTAGTCATAAGATGTAAATACATATATCTACCTATTTTCACTATTACAATTTTTTTTATTAGGAATTTAGCAATAAAAAAATAAACTTAACAATTCAATAGCTAAATGAGTTTATTTATTATTTTTTGTGAGGTATGATATTTTTTTATAAATAAGGAGGTAAAATTGTATGTAATACGAGAATAATATTAAAATGATCAAAACAAAACTCACTTTCTGCGACGACCGACGGTGGTGTTTTCAGTGTTCTCGCCCAGAAAGTTGAAGGATTCGCCAAAAATCCGATATTGTAAATCTTCTCCGTCATCAATTTGATATTGCATCTCTCACAACAATTACGGGGCGTTATGAATAAATGAACCACCCTTTTGTTTACTTAACTTTAGAATCATCGTTATTGAAAATGTTAGGCATTTCACTTGATTGTAAACATTGAACATAACCTCAAAATTTTCCCGCCAATATTTAACATTTATTTTTATTTTAACTTTTTTTTTTTAATGCAGAGAACGCGAACGAATCACGGCTGTAACGCGCGCGAAGCCGGACTGACTGAGAAGCCGAGCCGGCTCGGAAGGCCGACGGATCGCGGTAGGTAACGAGGGGAGTTGTCGCCGTCCTCGTCTCGCTGCGGGTTGTTTCATAATGGTCGAAGAATTCCGAACTTATTATGCTATTTTGTTAATTCTCATTTCATTGCGGGGTGTAATATAGACTTTATGTGTAGAGTAATAATATTATATTATCTGTGATGCAGGTGAACTAATAAAGGTACCTACTTAATTGGTAACATTTTTCTTTATGACTGATATGATATATACCTACCTACTTCGTAGTTAAGTATCATTCAAATCGAAGATATACAATTAGTAATTAGAGTACCAACTATTTAAAAAAGGAGAAAGGAAGTGTATATGTGTGAGAGATATATATGTATACGCTGTCAGGTCGACCTCCGCATGGTTCCTCTTGGAAACCATAGTGATAAATTCTTGTCGTATTCACTACGATGGGCCTACTGACCTGATTTCATCGGTGGAAAAGGTATTGTTAGTAATACAGGGTGTATTGCTAGCAATCAGGTCAACCTCTACGCGGTTCCCCCTGGAAATCATTGTGGTATATAGTGGTACAATCTTGGGACCTTTTAATTGATATAAATATAAATTAAAGGGTCCCAAGATCGAATATTGGAGTCATAGCCTTAATTTAATATTTTTTCTAAAATTCATATTTGCATTATTTAAAAATTATCATTTATTTCACACTTCGGAAGGATCGAAAAGCTGTCGTCCGGTAAGACAAGTCAGAAACTCTTATATGTAACTAAAATATAGAACAGAGGGCCTACCACGAAATATTTTCCAAAATGTTTAAAGCCAAACGAAACCCAATTTTGATGTCAAAAAGACTGTGTGTACACTGTTTAAAAATATTAAAATTTGGACTATTAAAGAAGAATTTATGACGAATGAAATGTTAAGCACCATTTACTGGACAGATTTCTGTACGAACAAAAATAAGAAACTGAGTCCGAAAATTCGGAATTTCATTTCGTAGTAGACCCGCAGATTGATTAACAGGCACCCTGTCAGCCCAACCCAGAAACTCAGTTGTTCGTCGTAGAAAAAAACTGCTGTTGGAAATCGACGATTTTAAACAGAATATTGTAATACAGGTCCCATTTCCAAGCACTTAAAAAAAAATTAATTCTGCGACAGCAATATCGCGCGTATAGCAGTGTCGCGTCCATAACCTAGGGTAAACATAACCAGTTAACATCGGGCAAGCTGTATGCTTGTTTGTTCATAACATATTGGTTTTTAATTATCCTAATATTAATAAACGCGAGTTTTTTAAATAGCTTAGAGCAGAAATGCTAATTTTGTTATACTTTTAATTCATAAATTAAATAATATCATATACACCGTAACTAGACGATGACTGTGCATGGGAGGTACTGTAGAAAAAAATATACGAGAGAGTCTTAATAAGAGCAAAACAAACCAAATTTTTTTTTTTTAATTTTACGTCTGCCTATATGTTTGTTCTGGCGTCACACAGTACCAGTTCTTTATATTTGAAAATTGTCATAATATTCTAGAACGATCTACCCGCTGACGTTGATGTTTTATTCCACTTTGTGTTTGCTGGAAGAGAACTCTTTTAGAGTTAAGCTCGCCTTTGTTCATTACTTCCTGTATCACATTTTTATGTATTATTATGTATTAGTGTGTACAATAAAGTAAAAATAAATAAATGTTTTTTTTTTTTTAATGGCTGATAATGGAATGATAACCCCGCCTGCGTTATCGGTATACAGTGGCTGGGCACCGGTAAGGTAATAGCTGAGGATGAAAGAGCAGGTCAGTTAGCCCATCGTGATGAATACACCTCGAATTCAGCACATTGGTTTCCAGGGGAGACTACGTGGAGGTCGACCTGATGGGGTATATTGCTAGCAATGGAACTGATAGTTCACATTATTAACAATCCGTACCCCCATAAATAAATGTTTAAAGGCTAAAGCAACAGACTATTACAGTCATAATTTTAAAATACGAGATTATAAAACAACATACAGAGGTCAAATAAATGACATCACCATCATTATTTGTAAAAGGAACAACATTCGTACAACGAACAAAACGTATCTACCACATACACGATAAGCGATACTGATACTTAAATACAATATCATAAAGTAAAAGGTCCCGACGTTATCTGAATACATTAATATTTTTTCGCGTTAAAGTGTAAACCTCCATCCCAAATAGTACCTTCAGGGTGGGGTAACGGATTGGTAGTAATGCGGACTACCAGTCCCATTGCTAGCAATATATCCTGTCAGGTAGACCTCCACGCTGTCCCCTCTGGAAACCGTGCTGAATTTCAAGTGTATTCATTACCTAAATTTTATGACGATTTATCGAGCCATTAAGACGCTAAGCAGTAACAAACGAACAAACTCACTTTTATATTTGATGTGAAAGTATTACTTATTGTTATAGTATACACGTACTATGAATAGGCCATGAAAAAGAATATCTATTGTCCTTTTCTTTTGCACTAATTTTTAAATTTTATAGACAGTGACAAAACACCGTAATAGTTAAAGTAGGTTTGTAAAGCGTTTTAGTTTTTTATTAATAAGGAGGTATGTGTTCATTTGAAATGCACTTAACATCAAAATTCTGAAGAAAGAAAAGATTGACCTCAGTTTGAAATATATATATTATAGGCTGATTCTGAAACGCCTAACAGATATTTTAAAAAAAGGAAAAATTAAAATGCAGGATAAATGGTGCCTCTTTCCGTAATTTCCGTCAGTTTTGTAAAGAATGAATAGTTAAGTATATTTATTTAGTAATCATTCGATGTTGGACGAAACTGTAAATAAAACTAAACTTTGCAGACACTGATTAAGAATACCGGTGGTACTCTCTCTACAATTGCAGTACATACAGTATAGGAATCATTTAACATCAAGCGATCAGTGAGATTAATTGCCATTCCAAATACAAAAAAAAATATAAGTTTTCATTAAAAATAAATAAATAAAGAAACATGGTGAAATCAAATATAGGTTCAAGAGATTTATTTTTTCAAGGTACATAGTATATAATCAGGGTCTTCAAAATAGAGACGTGAGTACAAGACCGTCAAAATAGACAGTTTTGCAGACGTTCATCAGGTAGGCCCTATGCTCGTTTGCCACCTCAGTGGTATAAAAAAATCCTGTAATATGTCTTTTTAGAGAGTCATTTTTACAGAAGATTTAAAAAAAATCAGGTATGTCTAGAAGGGCCGTAGCTAGACCCAAGTTTAAGGTAAGGCAAAGGAACTTTGTGGTAGGGCAAAAGCCATAAGTAAATAACTTTGAAAAAGCGAATGTGTCTAATTTTCTTGGGACCTTTCATTTTAAGGTAGGACATTGGGCGTTTTAAGGTAGGGCATTACTCCTCATTGCCCCTCCCCCTACTACGGCCATGTATGTCTAGGATAGACTCAGACAGTTTATTATAAAAACTTACACAATTTCGCAAGAAGGAATTATATAGAAACTAGTAATTCTGTATTTATGTGCAAAATCATTTATGCATGTACCTATCCACGCCTTTATAGTTTCAAAGCAGCGATATATTAAAAATCTATATAAAAACTCACTCTTGTTTGATGATAACATAATCTTCCTCCGCTTCTGTAGATAGTTTCGCTTGCAAATTTTTCAATTTCTCGATCTGAATCTGCATGTGCAATTTGGTGTCATCCTCCATGCTGAAAGAAAAATAACAATGAGACTAATTAAGACTAGTGATCCGACCCGACTTCGTGCGGGTAGATGGAATGTTCATAAATAATATGCGTATGTCACTCGCTATTAATGCAGCTTTCTATGGGTGATAGAATTTAAACAATTTGATTTTTTTTTATACAACTTAGAATGGCAAACAAGCTGACGGCCCGCCTGATGGAAAATGGTAACCGTCGCCTATAGACATGAGCAGTACCATGGACATAACAGAGTATACTGTTTCGCCCATGATACCCCCTATGTGTTGCCATTCCTGAGGACTCAGGTGTCATTCCTCTGTACCCTGTAAATTCACGCCATATCCCACCCCTCAAACTGAAGTAGTAATTAAAAAAAAGGCCTAAATGCCTTTTTTTATAATATACATATTATTTTATGCCTGTTAGTTGTCTAGTACCCACAGCAGAAGTTCTATCAGTTTAGGACTAGATGACTTTGTGTAATACGGCCAGTAATTTCATCATCATCATCATGATCATCATCATACCAGCCGTTAACTGTCCACTACTAAATATACTGTAAGGCCTCTACCGTAAGGGAGGTTTTGCCAGTAGTTGTCACGCTTGGCAGGCGGGTTGACAATCGCAGATAAGCTTTGGCAATGTTTTAAGAGGGACGCTGCTACTCATTTATCGAACAGTAAATTCCATTAGTCGCCTCTTACGACACCCACGAGAAAGGGAGGTTACTTAATAATATTTCTTTGTTTAAAATTCCCAGCAGTGGGAATGTTAACAGAATTTTTTAAAAATGAGTGTTGATGAAATCATGTTGTAACAAATTCAATGGGAATTCTAGTGAATTCGATGGTTAATGATGGTTCGATGGTTTCCAGGTGAGCCTGGATGGAGATCGATCTAATATTACATATTACTAGTGATTTAATTATTACTAGGAGTTTCCCCATTATGAACAATTCAATTTTCACCCATTAAACCTAATAAAAACTTAATATAGTCACTGTAGTCAATATGAACCCTAAAAAATATAACGCGGGAATATGTCACTCTTTATCACATTATAGCAATATACCCTGTCAGGTCGACCTCCACACGGTCCTCCTGGAAAATATCGTAATAAATTCCTAGTGAATTTCCTACGATGGACCAAATGACCTGATTTCATCCTCCACTTATGCCCATTATTTATTCATTAAACTTTAATACACCTAATGTAAATGGCGGACATAACATCATATGGCGTTATCTGCCATTCGACTGTAAACAGGAATACCAGAAAATATAATTGACCTTTACTATCATAATATTATACATCATTAGCATAGTCGGAGGCGCCATTCCATCTACATTCATAAAAAAAAATTGGACTGTACTTTTTATGTCACTAAGATGGTAAACAAGCATATGGCCCACCTGATGGTGAGCGGTTACCGTAGCCTATGAACGCCTGCAATACCAGAGGTATTTCGCGCGCGTAGCCGACCCTGAAGAAACCTCTTTATTCCATTTTTTAAAAATCTTATGCTGTAGTCTCTTAAAAAAACCTCGACAGGAAATCATCTTCGTGTTTTAATCTAATTTGAGCTGCCGAATGTTTTGGCTGGATTCATAATCAAAGTGTTTACGGAAGTTTGCTAAATCTTCATCGACCTGCACGCGGTCCCCCATGGAAAGCATCGTGGCTGATTCGTGATGAATTCATCACGATGGGCTAACTAACCTGCTTTCCTCATCATCATCCCTAACTTGTGCGTCGCCTGGGGGGAAAGAGATTGCTATTAATGGCGACTAAGAATCCCATTGCTAGCAATAAACCCAACCAGGTCGACCTCCTCGCGGTTTCCCCTGGAAACTATCATGGTTAATTCCAGATGAATTCATCATGATGGGCTAACTGGCCTGTTTTCATCCTCATCGATCACCATTCACTGGTGTCCCGCCAGCGTAACCCGTTAGCGCAGGCGGGGTTACCATACCATTTTCACACATAAAAAAACCTATCATCATATCATATCTATTAAAATAAATAATATAGACTATAGACCTATTTATACAGTTAGGTGTTTTATTGTATTATCTTTATTTATTTAATGACATTTAATAATTTAATTCTATTTTAATGTTTATCAAACACAAAGCATGCTGTGGTTGCCTTCAAATGTAAGAACAGTTAGATCTAAAGTACCAGTGTATTGTATTAAAATGTTTCGCTGTATCTTATGTTGGTGGTCCTATAAATAAATAAATTTGTTCCACAGAAATTAAGTGTGCGAAGCAGCAGTAAATAGAGAATCTAAACGTCTCAAATAATATTATCAAGACGAAAGATTGAGGTTTTGCTAGTAATATAGAACTCAAAATATACTCAATCGATTCTAAAAATTCTTTCATCTATAGAAAGCTATACATTTGCGACTAACATGCGCTGTATTTTCGGGTAGCTAGTTCTTAGTAAAACATCAATATAACAAACGAAACTTACGCGTAATACAGTTATTAAAAACCTGAGGGCCTACCATGAAATATTTTCCGAAATTTCGGGGACGAACGAAACAGAAATTTGATATTAAAATTATATAATACATGCCGTTTAAAATTATTAAAAATGTTGAAATATCGTCCCTCTGGACTATTAGGATAGGATTAATGATGTACAAAATGTTAAGCTCCATTTGCTGGGTTGATTTCGGTACGAACAAGAACACGAAATTGAGCCCGAAATTTCGGAATTTCATTTCATGGTAGACCACCTGTTAAGTTATCGAACAACTCTGGTAGTGCCATAAATCGAATTAAATAAAAAAAAAAATAAGTAAAATTTTGAGGTAGGTGGGTTATTTATTAAAATCAAATGTCGTATCCCCTAAATACGTATCTAATTTGGGGTCCTAACTAAATTGATTGATTGATTGTCAGTAACGGGGACTAGTAACCCCATTGTCAGCAATATACCACCAAAACGAAATCGTCACGATGGCCAACCTCGTTCAATTTTCAACCTATTAAAAAATACATACCTACCTGCATTTAATACAAATTCGATATAAATATCTATCTACCTAAAAAAACGGTAGGGGGAAAAGGTTTGTTAATAATGGGATCTAACTGTCCCACTGCTAGCAATACACCCCATCAGGTCGACCTCCGCGCGATTCCCCGTAGACACCATCGTGCTGAATTCCAAGTATACTCATAACAATGAACTAACTAACCTGCTTTTTCATTCTCACCTAACATCCCTCACTAGAGAGGAAGATTGTTAGTAATGGGGAGGTTAGTCCCCATTGCTATCAATATATCCTATCAAGTCGACCATCACGCGGTTCCTCCTGGAAACCATCGTGACTAATTCATCGTTGAATTCGTTACGATGGGTTAACGGACCTGCCTTTTCATCTTCACCCTCACTGGTGTCTCGCCAGCGTATACCATTAGCGCAGGCAGAGTTACCATTTCATTATCACCCATTAATTAAAAAAAACGTAAACAATAGTACTTAACCTATTCCTAAAGGATGGAAGGAATTGTTAGTAAAAGGGCTATCAGTTCCCACTGTTAGTAATATATTTTAATATCGACGATACGCAATTTTCCATGAAAATCATCATGTTTGGTTTCTGGTCAATACGCCACGATGGACCAATTGACCTACATACGTTGTCATAAAACGATGGTAATGAAGAATGTGGATGAAACCATACTCCACTGGTGCCCCGCCATTGTAAACCATTGGGTGGGTGGACGATTCCATTTTCATAAATAAACAAAACTGGTAATGACAAGTACGAATTAATTTGACCTGGATTTGTGTTACTGAACTACTCGAAAACCTATCCACAAAGACAAAAGCACGAATATGATTCAATGCGGAAAAACAGAAGGAAACATTGTTACTAGTTTTATATTTATCTAATAAAAATAACGGCACGACAGAGTTCACGTTGGTTGCATAATCGTAATGGACGTCGACATTGAACCATATTAGTGCTCGAACGATACTGAGCGTAGGTAATCAAAACAAACGATGATTCTAACTTCAATACGTTAAAAATCGTCTTTCTTATTTTTTTCTTAAATTACCTTCTTCTACATTCCGTTTTCCTAATTACCTTTCAAAAAATAGAATCCGTTAAATATTCGAAGTTCCAAATTCGAAGTAAAAACGTTATGGATAACGGTGTTGCGAACAATCTATCAAATAAGGCAATTAGAAGTCCAGTTCAGTTCGCAGATCGGTAGAGACACATATAAACTAATTTAGACTGAACAAATAGATAAGCAAATCAAAATTTATATAAAAGGAAAGCAAATTTGTGGTTATATTCATACAGAATGACGACATTATCGATCGACAACATACCTTGCACATTCATTATTCTCCATAAAATCTTCCTATTGAGAGAATAAAGGTAAAAATTAAATTCTTTATCAATTAAAATAAACCGATCAAATGTAAAAATTACTAAAAATTGCACACAAATCGAAAAATAAATATTCTTTTTGTACAAATTTATACACGATTCGTTAACATTCGTTACAATCAAAAGATATCATAATATTTTTACCCGTCTCTCTCGTACCATCGGAGGATAAAATGAATAAGAAAGAGAAACCCAAATAGAAATTCTACAAACCAGAGCCAAGGGCCGCCATTTTGAATGTAAATAAAGTAAAACTTGATATCTATGGTTTTAAAATTGCTAGTATAAAAAAACAAAATAAATTTATAATTTCAAAAATAAAATTACCGTAAATACGTCAATAATTTATGAAATTAAATTCCATACTTTCATCATATAATAAAAGAAATATATAATAATAATAATAATAAAAATATTCCTAGAAGACACACTGCCTCTGTTACTATCGGACCGGCTGTCTAATAACAATTGCTACCAATATCGAAGTCTTAGGAGCATGTTAGATTGCTAAACGGAAATAGTGAAGCGTATATTATATTATTATTAGGAAAATGAACCCGAAAATGAATTTTTCCATCTTATTAATTTTACAAGTAAAAAAAAGATACTTATTTAATTTAACCGGATCTTCGTGTACGGAGCCCATTATAAAATATGTTCCTGTATACTCCAAATGTCAGTTAGTGGTTTGTGTGAAACTGTATATATAGAATCCTATTTTATTTTGTTTAATTGTTTATTTTACTATTTCTTAAAAAAAAAAAATTTGTCTTGTGCTCCATCTTAAACTAATAACATTATTAACAAAGAAACTAATTAATGAAAGCATAAAAGGGCAGCAAATCCCGGATCTTTGATACTGGGAAGCCTACAAAAACATCAATTTTCCTAATTCATATCCATATACTTTGCTATGTATGTTTATTTAAGTTTAATGTTTGCACTTTATTATCATAATCATCATCACATCAGCAGTTCACTAACCACAGCCGAACATATGCCTCTCACATAAGGCGGTAGTTTGCCAGTAGTTTCCACGCTTGGAAAACAGGTTGCTTACTGCAGAATCAGGCTTTAGTAAAGTATTAAGAGGAATGCTATTGCCCAACCTTCGATCATTTAGTTTCCTTAGTTACCTCTTACGATGCCTACAAGAAAAGAAGCCCTGTTTTTTAGGTAGGTGTTCTTAGATTAACATTATTAATATATAAAATATCTATACTTCTGTACTTAATATTATAAAACGGTAAATTTGTGAGTTTCGATGTTCGGAATGTTCTCCGGTACTGCTTCAATCAATTTTTAGCTTTACAAAAAGTTTGCGACAACAATATCTAAGTTTAATATTAAAATGGGTTTATGTAAAAGTAAAATAAATGTAACAAGATTGTAAGATAAGAAGATAAAGTTTGGATACAGGTTTAAGTATATTTTACAAATTCCTATAAAAACAAATAATTAAATCAAAATAGAAATTTTAGGGCGACGAAGTTTATTTTTTGCAGCATGTTAATTGATGTAGTTGGACAGAACATAATGCGAAATAAAAACAATAAGTCGGTAAAATTATCGCGTTATCGCTAGCGCTGGCTATGCGAAAATTAGGTAGGGCACGAGGGTAAAAGATGCAAAAGGAAATATATAAAAGCGCGCACATTGAATTCCTAATTACAGAGGGACCTACGGATTCCTTCGCTGGACGACTTCATTGGCAGCTTGGCTATCAAGATGTTCGCACGCGCGACCTGTGGACCACAAACCGTATACACGCAAACTTATAGCTCGCGTGCACAAAGACCCTGAAGAGAAAGTAGATCCCTGATGTGGGCAACCCTGCCGTCCGGCTCATTTATACCCAGCAGGTAAAGATACCATATAGCAGCGAGTCATTTGGGTAAACTATAGCTTCACCCGCACATTTTCATTCGCTGTGGGAAGACATCACCTGAGCGGGGCAAAACGCTCTAGATAGGTTTCCCCAGCTTTTCCGCAGGGGGAGTGCAAGAAGACATCAAGTAGTTTAGGCTGTTCATTTTAAAATCTTAAAGAATATTAGTGAAGTACTTTCACATGCGCCAAAATACTACCCTTACTATCTATAGCACAGTTTAAAAATTACACAAATAAATACTGCATTCGTGCGATGTTAGGGTGGGTCGCTCATATATTTATATATAAATCATTGTTCGCTAGTGTTAAACAACAAACTAGTAAATAGTTTGTTTTTTCTTATGTCAATTGAACCTTTATTATCTTGAGTTAATTTTTTTTTATTTTTAGCTGTGCAGTAGTTTAGATATTAGATCAATTTATTCTTAGCCATAATAATTGCATTTTAATAATTTTCTAGATTTTATCTATTTCTTTTTTGTATATTTAGTTTATTTGGTCACTTATTTATCTATAAACAAATGGTGAATCTAAATGTTATTATTGCTACCGGAAAGGAATGTTTGGGTGAAATTATATTTGTTTATGAAATGAAATTTTACTTTTTTGCATTCATACATTTTATGTAGCTATTATAATATAAAGTAATAAATGTTATGAAGTTTACAAAAAAATAAAATATAAAACTAAAATATAACAACGATAAGATTTACGTGTTAAATACTTTTTATGGTGAATGGTAATTAAAAATTGTATGTAGCTAACTAGGAATTTGTTGACGATAGCCGGATCCGGTTATAGTTTCGGAACCGAGAGCGGTATACCATAGATAACCAAATGGTACGTAAAAAAATTAGAAATGAAATGACATCTTATGTCAAATAATCGCCGCGAATTTTGTCTTTAATCTTAAGGTCCAATCTAATTAACTTTGTAATATTAAATAATATTTATTTCTTAGTTATAAGTTTGTTGTTTTTGAAAAAGCAATGAAATTCCGTGCAGTAATGATAGACGCCGGACCTATGAGAGAATTTACAAGTAATTCTATTTTAATACAATGAGATTACAAATAGCGTTCTCTTTTTATGTCTTTTTTTTTGTAATGTAGTCAATGAAGGATAAATAAATAAATAAATTCCATTAGTGTTAACTATTTGTTATAATTTTTTATTTTCGTTAATTTACAGATATAGTTACAACAATATCTAAGTTGTCGAAAGAATGTGTACTAAGAATAGCTAGTGATCAACTGTATTTTATCGTTAGTGATGAGAATAGTGGTCCAGCACCTCCGATATTATGGTGCGAAATACCACATTCTATATTCTTCTCAGAATACCAAATGGTTGGATTGGATGAGCAGCACAAAGACATTTATCTTGGCTTCAATTCAGGTATTATTTTAAGTTGTCTATAACCTGCAAGTCTCTGGTACTGAAAATATCAATTTTAATGTCATAAAATTATGTTTATTTATTTATTTTAAGTAAACAGTTACATAGACTTTATTCTTAGTGCTGTGAAACTGCATTACAGTTTGTCCGCAGCTTTGCGCTCTTGTACAAACAGCTTTTAAAACAATTATAAACTTATATTCTAATTCTATATACTAAACTTATATCTTTATACATACATATACACAGATATGCATATATACACATACATATAGACACACATGCATGTACTAAGTGGATGTTACTTGTATGAGTATACACTCATTTGAAAATTTCCAAAGCAAACATAAAACAGATATATAATTTCTAGTAGTAGATTTTTGTGCAAAGTATTCTATGATTTTTTAGTTCCCTATCAGAAGATTTTTTTAAATCATCGGTCAGAAATGTTGAAAATTATTAAATTGTTTTTTTAACTGCCCTTAAGGTGCTAACCAAAATACTATTCTCATATTACTTTGGTAAGATTTGGTATGTAATGTATATATTCCTTCACTGTGCAGGCTATTAAACTGTCAAACGAACTCCCACTTGACATAAAGATCCACCTTAAGCAAACTAGCTTTTAAACATTAATTGGACTTCTATGTTTTAAAAAAGGCCAATTTATACACTTCATTCCCATTTATTAATTTTTTATTCACTTTCCCTTTAAACTTAATCTTACTCTAATAAAATTCCAGGTAATTTGGCAAGATCATTAATAACACTGAAGTCTGCAAAAACACTAAAAATGAAGTTGACAAAGAAACAGGGTCCATGTCTTACATTAGACATTGAAGTGGTATGTATCATTGAAAGTGAATTTTAGTCAAACTTGTCATTTTGTAATGTAACAATGCATGTCTATTTCTCTCTATATATATAATATAACAGGAAATTAAAAATTCACAGTGTAAAGTAAGATGCTATGATCCCCGTAGAAGACTTCTGAATAAAGCCGAAATGATTTTCAGAAATGGCAAGATACAATGAGTTTGTTAATTTCCTATTATATATGTAGATAGATATTGTATTAAAAATCAATATAAGTTTTAAAAACAGCAAATCTATTTATTATATTATTAGCAATAGCAATATGGGTATTGTAGAACATGTAGGGTTAAGGGAACTAAATTATCTAGGGATGGGTAGCAGGTTCCCTCTTAAAACATCACCAAAATTTAACTGTAGTTGTCAACTCGCCTACCAAGCATGGCAACTACTGGCAAAACTCCTGTTATTGGGGAGGCTTATGTTCAGCAGTGGACAGTTAATGTATATATAGATATGATGGGTTTTTGGGTTTTTTTACTATGTTCGATATGATGATATAAATTCTTATCATATATGAATATGAATTTTAAATATAAATTTTTATCAAAAACATTAATATGTAACCCCACCAAATTCTGTAGTGTTCAAACAATTTTCATCATCAATTAATATTTTCTTAATAAGTACATTTATTTACTTATTGTGACTCTATCAGTGGAATACTTAGGAAACTATTCATATCTTACATGTTATTATTTTTATAAAATGTACATATATTTTTTTAAAATGTACATTTAATAAAATTTATGTTAAAGGCCACTGACTCATATTCAATACACTCTTTTACTTTTAGTCCTTTTTTTTTTTAAATATATATCATATGTCAAATCATATGTGCTCTATATTTTCCCAATAAAATCGTATTCAGTAGCGAGTGCTAATGATCCATTACAGCTAATAATGTCTTTGTATGTCTAAGGTTTTCTCTATAATACTCAAAAACTCTATAAGTCTCACAATTAAAGTGCAGTCAGTTAATTCATATTATGATTTAATTTACAGCCATCAGCTTGCTCTCAACAGACGAGGCAAGTAACACATGATATTCCCATTGTAGTCATACCAAGGAAGATGTGGTCAGATTTCCAAGAGCCCAGGACTCCACAACCAGATGTAAGACATTATTGTTATCCTACAATTGTTTAATCTTATTAATATTATAAAAATGAAAGTTTGTAAGGATGTATGTTTGGATTTTTGTTACTTAATCACACTTAAAGGACTAAACTGTTTTTATTTTCATCTATCACCCTCCTGATAAACATTAACACAGGTAGATTATATACTGTTATCTACCAGTTGACTGTAGACAGGAAAAGCAGAAAATATAATTGACAGTGCAACATATATACAGGTTACAATACATACAATATATATACTGTAATAATATGGAATGAAAAACTACTCAGATACAAGGGAAACTCTAGTATCAGACAAAACAGTGCCTAAAACATATTACCTTTCTATGGATTCTAAATAAAAAGAAAGTAGTTTATGTTGGCAAAGTTGCAGGAAACAGATAATGACTGAATAAAAGCTATTTTTATTTTATATTATAATAATGTATTTCTATTATTAATTTTTTTTTCAAATTGACATTGGTTTTAATTAAAACAGGTGTCCATAGAGTTGCCAACACTGAAGCAACTACGTACAACCATCGATCGGATGAAAACCATGGCGGCGGAGGTGGTGATTAGAGCATCGGCAGAAGGAAGACTCACATTGCAAATCAAGACTGATATGGCGAAAGTATCCACGAGGTTCAAGGACTTGAGAGTTGAAACGTATGGAGGTTTGTACTTAACACAACAGGTTTTCAACTATCTTCAAAAAGGAAGTTAAGACTTGGATTTTTGTTATGGTCATCCTTGGCAAAATATTTACAAATAACTTAAAATCGGTAAAAAAGTTTTATTAAAATATCAATATAAAATAAGCAGATTTCATAAAAACGCCGCTTTTGTGTACTCAGTATAATGCCTTAAGGAAAGTGAATATTTTTTGTTAAAGAAAAATGGTCGATCTATATGCAATTCTACTATATAACTTTCAATTTGCTATCTATATACTTTTTAAATAAGAAAGCTTGAAAGATGTTCAATTGTTTTTAAAAATGTATATATTGTAATTATTTATTTATCCCAGAATTTAAACGTGAGTAGACTTAAATAATTACAGTATAGTATGACTCATATTAGTTATTATTTCATAAATTGATGAATTGTTATGATTTGTAAAAACAATTTTTTGAAATACATGACTGGAAGTTATCCCAGTAACTATTCTATAATTATGCAGGGCTACTAAGTGGTGGCAAGGGTATATACCTTAAATGAAAAATCATTGTGTACTTTCTTATTGATTGCATTGATGGAATAATGATAATTTGAAAGCAAATTTGAATATGTCTACAAATTTAAACAATATCTTTTTTCAGGTCCTATTGACCATTCGGACTCTGAGAGTGAAACTCAAATAAATGAAGATATGTCCAAAGTGTGTCACTGCCGGGTAGACGCTAAAAAATTGTCCATGTTTCTCAGTGCAGACTCAATATCTCACAACCGGACTGTATGTAGTATAATACACAAGAAATTAGTGATATTGTGTTTACAAACTGAAGAGAATGTTAAGTTGCAGTGTTTTATCACAGGGATTGTGTATTGATGATTTCTTTTTATATTCAAGCATAATTGTCAGGCCTTTGATCATGTTAAAACCGAGTGAACAAAAACTCAATTATTCCCCAAATTCTTAAATTCTTGTTTAGTGTAAACATACTAAGAGCATATGTCAATGCTCACAGTCTGCCGAGTATGATGGATCACATAAGAAATGTGTCGTTGCTGATCTTCCGTTGACGAGAGATCGATGGCGATCGGACAGATACCTCGCCGGCCTAGCGCAAACTTTCTAGTCGTTACGTCGACCGATTTTCCGTGTAGTGTGTCCGAGAGTTGTAAATACTGTTCTACATTTTGTGACTTTATATCGTGTATGATCCACAACTGAAAATTGCCTAATATCGCGCTAACATACAATGAAAGGACAATTCGAATTAATTCACGACGTGTAAACATATTTGTGGATGTGCCTTCTCTGTACATTATAATATGATGCCGATGATAGGTCATTATAATTAAATTAATTATAAAAAATAAACTAAAACTAAACATATATATTGATTTATATTCTAAAAGTCTTATTTAATATAATTATTTTATAGTAAAACTACAAAAATAGTTATCATCTGCACCATGTTACAACGTATAGAGGTTTAAGTAGAGATAGAAGCAGTTAGTGTCATTTCTTGTCCTTAATGTTATTTTTTTTTTTTTAAATAAAAACATTCATAGAAAAGAATCCGATTTATTTCACTGACAATCAACATAATCATTAACATTGTTATTTTCTTAGAGGTCTAATACTTTTTCTTTTAATTAACATACGTACCAAATGCCACAATAGGTTTGATACTATTTTAGTAGTGTTGAAATTTTTGGAAAAAAAAAATTCATCAGGAATCAACTAAACGAGTCACAGATAAAATAGTTTAAGTGATCAATAAATTATATGACAAATAGTTTTAATATAAGACTTTACATGTACTTGGACATTTTATAAATGTTTACAATATGTTTTAGTAAAACTTAATGAAAAGGTAGTCAAATTTTGTTGAGATTCTGATAGAAACACTCATTAAATGGAATTAATAATAAATCGGTAATGAAAAGTGATGCCTTGTGGTCGGGCCATTTATTTGATTGCTTGCATTTTCATTAAATTTTATTAAAACTATATACATGTTGATTTCTAGTGTCTCTGTCGAGTATTTGTGAAAACTGGTGATTACATATGTATTAATATAAATTCGAATGGACATCTAATACAAATGTACAGTTATAGGACAAAATTATAAAAATAACAATTATTCATCAAAAGGTCTATTCAAATGACCAGACTATAGTATCAAATCAACATTTAGACAATTCTAAATCACTTGTGGCTTCTAATATATTTGCTAATATCAACAGTTACTAATTATATGTCAATTGGAAGGATCTTTCGTTGTCTCTCCTCAATGTGTCGTGTGTGGCTTTGAGTTGATCCAGCTTTGTTGATATTTGCGCTATGGAGTTATCTATCCATTGCATCGATGACATATGAGCGTTGAGAATACGGCCTATTTGTACGATCTGGAAATAAAGAGAATAAAATTATTTTGGATTAGCTGTATCGCGTGGCTCCATCTGCAATGAGTCAGTACATGAAGTGTTTATTATTATTGAAAGAAGGGCTTTTTTCAGGTAGGAAAGCCTGTAACACTATGAGCATTCTATGATTTTTTGAATGAATACATGAAGTATCCTATATGCTAAATTTCTACTCGTGTACTAAATTTCATTCAAATCCGTTCAGTAGTTTTTGCATGAAAGAGTAAACATATCCATTCATCCATCCTTACATTGTTAAAAACTTGCATTATAGTAATAGTTTACGAGATCAGTTTTTTTTTTTTGTAATCAGTCTCAGATTCGATTCTTCGTCGGGCCAATTTAGGAAACAATATTTTCTGATTTGGTTTCTGGTTGTTCTCTCATACTTCTAGTTTGAGGATTAGGCGATTAGTATGATTATCTGGCTCTTATTTAATCGGGTTTAGTAATACATAATACGTTACTGACACTTCAAGACCAGAATTTTGTATTTAAATGTATATAAAATATAAAAGTGTAAATGTAATTTACTAAAATATTAACATACGTTTGAAGACATGTTATAATGTATGAACACAAAATAAAATTTATTTTAATTTCTTCGATGTACAATGAGTAGAAAAAGAAATATCTGACACATTAATAATCATACTAGGAGAAATAATATATATATAAAAAAAATAGGCATGTCATAGCTGGGATTAACGTGTTCTTATATCTACATGCAATTGGGTACACATATTGGGATATAATTATAAGAAAATAGCGGACCTAGTTAATGTTATCCCCCCCCCCCCCCCTTCATTACTGCTACCATACAGTAAATTTTTGATCTTTCAAGTTGGAATCAATAATACACTATCAAAATCCGGTTAAGCGGTTACAGAGTCACACAGAGTTAACATCTGAGATACGTGATTTTTATATTTAAGACATTTTGGCTTACCGGATCATTACTGTCCTGGCTTCTGTTTGTTTCATTCAAGTGTTCGATGACTTCTTTCAGGTCTTCAGACATCTGGCGTAATTGTGTGTCCAAATTCTCCGCTAATGTATACCTGTATTTCATAATTGAATATTGGGTTACGAAAAGTTGTTAAGAATTTAAGAGCATTCATAACTTTTTCTTACTTATAGTGTATTATTATTATTTATTCAGCAGTTAACAGTCCATTGTTGGACATAAGGCTTCCCCATAAGGAGTTGTGCCAGTAGTTGCCACGCTTGGCATGGGAGTTGGCAACTTTTGAAGATGTTTTATGAGGGCTGCTGCTGGCTATCCCTCACTCTCCCTTAGTCATCTCTTACGACACCCACGGAACAGGAGTAGCCCATCCTATGCCAGGTCACACAGGGCAAACTATACGTCTTCAACGTTGCAATTATTTGTAAATTTTTCAAAAACAATTCAAGATTTTTCAATGTTTTTGACCTATTATTTAATAAGTGCTCTCCTAGGGAATCTTATACTATCATTTTATAGATCCTATGTGTTACCAGAGGGAGACTTTGTACAAAAGTCGTTTGCTTGGGCACCTCTGTCCCATTCGTGTTTCTACCATGAAGCAGTTGTGTTTCGATTTGAAAGACGGGATATGGCAGTGAATTTACAGGGTACAAAAGAATAACACCAGAGTCCTCAGGAATAGCAACGCATGGGGGGTATAATGGGCGAAAAATATCCTGTTATGTCTATGGTACTGCTCATGTCTACAGGCGACGGTTACCACTTTCCATCAGGTGGGCCGTCAGCTTGTTTGCCATTCTAAGTTGCCAAAAATAAAACCTACCATTCCCAGTAGAATACGCATATTTGCCAACGAATTACAGTTGCATATCAGGGGTTCTTATGGATTCTGATATCTCACCGCACAATCTACACAATGTATCTGAGGATAGATCCATCTTGTATATTATATATCTTACGGGCATATGTCCAGTTAAGGTACCCATAGACACGTAAAGATAGTTTAAGAAAGTAGATTACATGGTTTATTATCACCTGTTAAGTAACGATTGCTTGAGTTAGGAGAAACCACTGTTTCATAACACTGAATTATGTTTAATAATATTCATGTTTTCATTATAATTATACATTTTGTTCTTTTTATATTTTTATATCAGTAATTATCTTCAAGCCAAGATCTTTGCAGTGTAGACAAAGACAACTGAATGTCAAAGGCCTTTATATACATCTTTTTATCCACTCTCATAAATCTCGTAAATCGTGCTTCAGAATTGACCATACATGCTACAGGACTAGATACTAACATATGTTCTCTTTCTGGATCCCTCAATCTGTCTCCAGCATCTTCTAGCAGTTGCTTCTCGAGCGGTGCGAGTAGATCTTCTAGTTCTTTCTGTTGTGCCAGTACAAAGTCCAACTCGTGTTCCAAGCTCTGTTGTTCGTTCTTCACGGTTTGTACTGCGTCATTTAGTTCCACTATCTGAAATGAATAATTCTTACTTATACATACATACATACATTTACATACTTGGCCGTGTGGTCCCGGCATAGAATAGGCCACCCCTTCCTTTGCCGTAAGTGTCATAAGAGGCTAAGGGAAGGCAAGGGATGGGCAGCAGTATCCCTCTTAAAATATCTCCAAGTCTAAATACGATTGCCAATCCGCCTGCCAAGCATAGCAACTACTGGCAAAACCCCCTAAGGGGGAGGCCTATATTCAGCAATGTACAGTTAAAGGCTGATATGTCAATGATGATTACATACTTATATTAGAGATTGTACTATGGGTGCTAGACAAGTGATATAGATAAGGAAAAAATAATTAAAAATATCCCTGCCAGGTCGACCTCCACGCAGTCTGCCTTTGGAAACAATCGTGGTTAATCTTGACGGATTCGCTTCGATGAGTTAAATGACCTGATTTCATCCTCACTTATTATAGTTTTTTCTTTTTATTTCAATCAACCACACATTTCTATTGCGTGTGCTAGCACACTTTCTTTTAAATAAAAAATAGGTTCATCATGAGTTTTTCTTTTAGTGAATTATGTTTACCTTCTCGCCATTAGCAATAAGCAGCCTGTCCCAGGCGTTGATCTGCGTCGCTTGGTTGATAAACGTCTTCTCTTGTTCCTCCAACTCGATGGTCCATTTGTTGATACTTTCTTCGAGTTGAGCAAAATTTATTGATGATATTTGGGCGGGTGGTGCCGGCGCTGCTGTACTGGAAACAAGGCAAATTTATCGTTCAAATTTAAAATTGGTTTGACAGTTATTATTAGTATTTTATTCTTTATTGCACAATAAAACTTTGTACAAATGGCGAGCTTAATGCCATATGACATTCTCTACCAGCTAACCATTGGGTAAAAACAGAAAGCGTATGAAGGGCAGATGTGGTGAAAAATATGTGATAATTATAGTAACACATTTAGGCAATACACAATATAAATATACAACATAAACATTGCTTTTAATATATATGGATAAACTAATACTGTTCGGAGATCTTAAGTTTGAATTTCAGTAAAAATCGATAATTTTTTTAATTTTGTTTAGATAATTTCAAAACGATAGCCGTGTCCTGTCGGTCTTGATTGATTGAAATGGAATGGTAACCCAGGTGAGATTACCATCGATATGCGCTGGCGGGGCACCAATAAGTAATAATAGGAGAGAATGAAGTCAGGACAGTTAGTGCATCGTGACGAATTTCACAAAAAATAATCACGATAATTTCCAGGGAGAACCTCATGGAGGTCGACCTGATAGGATATATTGATAGCAATGGGGTAGTTTTTTTTAATGGGTGAAAATGGAATGGTATCCCCGCCCAAGCTATTGGTATACACCGACGAGGCACCAGTGGAAGATGATAGGTCAGAATGAATGCAGGTCAGTTGGTCCACCATGATAAATTCGACAAGAATTAACCATGATGGTTTCCAGGGCGAACTACGTGGTTTAACTAATAATCCCTTTCCCTCCACAATGGGGTAGTTAAATACCATTACTAACAATCCCTTTCCCCCAGATAATTTAATTTTACATTTTAAGGGAGTTTATGTTAAGTCTATAGGGGAGGCTTATATCCAGCAGTGGATCGAAAATCGCTGAAATGAATGATGAAGGGAACTTATGCTGTCGTAGAAAAAATTATGAAATAGAAAATGTGGTTAATTACAATATGAACAGTGATTGACGAACAAAATAAGTTTGAGAACCTACGATGTCAAAATATTGCATTTTCATTAAAAATTAATTAGGACATTCCACGTTGCACATAAAACTGTTAATTTCAAACGATCGTTTTTCATTTCGTGTCTTATACTGTATCATGTATCTGTTTAAAATACTCAATTTACTCACGTGGTGACAGTTGTTAACGAAGGCATAGTTGCCGATGTTGTAATTTTTCCCAATGCTGCAATTCCAGACGGAGTTGTGGTCGACGCTGAAAAATCATTAAAAAAAGTTACATTTATTCAGACTTAAATAATAGTATTAATTGTTGATAGAACTGAGACCAGTGGCCCCATTGTATGCAATATAATGTTGTTTCCCTTGAAATTCGTTACGATGAATCCTTTAACCTTCTTCATGGATCCTTAAATCCCTAAATCCTTTAATCCATCAACCTTATTCCTTACTGGTACTCCGTCATGTTACCAGCAGGTTGGAGGAGGAAGGTATAGTAATGGGGTTTAAAATTTTATTGCTAGCAAAATATTCTATGTGTCTTATCAGGTCCACATCCACGCGGTTCCCCCTAGAAACTATCATGGTAAATTTTTGTGGAATTCGTCATAGTGAGCTAACTGACCTGCTGTCCTCCTCATCCATCATTTCTCAGTATTGCCCCGTCAGTATATACCGTTAGCGCAAGCGGACTTATCATTCCATTTTTACCATCAAAACTATATATTATTATTCAATTTTATCCTAACATACCGTAGGAGTGTATATGTAATAAAGCACTATTTACCAAGATAAGGAAAACTCAAAACTTATAATTTTATTAAAATACAGTGGAAATGTTTACACGATATGAAATGTCACTGACGACAAGGTTCTGGACATATACAGAGAATAAAAAAAAAGATAATTATCATAGATAGATAATACCATTCGCTATTTGTGATATATACTCATTTTCAAGGAGTTTTAAAAGAAACAAGGTAAAGTATTCAGTTATTTTTTTTTGTCAATTCTTCGCCAATTACCAAATTTGTTCAACAGATTTGGCAATTTTTTGCTCGATCGATCAATAAATTACTAAATTCGGCATAATAGGCTAATTGACGTGACTTCATTTTCGTCTATCATAGATACTCTTTATTGTTTCCTACAAAAGATTACAACAGTAAACTTATTCTAGATATAAAAAATTACAACCTCACTGGTATCTTATAAGCCTAAACCAATAGCGATTCGCTTCCATTTTCATGCTTGAAAAATACCCTGTATTTAATTCAGGTCTTGTACTGCATGTATCCGATAATTTGATAACTTTATTCAAAGAAAACATAGAACTATTATTATGTCATACTTTTTAAAATCGTTCTAAATATTTAACACACCTGATGTAGCAGCCGCCGTAGTTGCAGCTGGTTTTGCTCCAAAACTAAGCCCGGTGCCAGCGCTAGTTGCTCCGAAACTAAGACTACTTGTCACTTGAGTAGTTGCTGCTGTTGATGTACCAAAACTAAGCCCACCACTAGTCGCTTGAGTGGTTGTGGCTGGTGTTGTGCCAAAACTAAGCCCGGTCGAAACGAGCCCTGTTGAAGTTTGAGCTGACGTGGCTGGAGTGCCGAAACTGAGTCCAGTACTATTAGTTGGCGCTGCAGAGGTTGTTCCAAAACTAAGCCCCGTCGCAGGTTGACTTGATGTTGTGGTAGTACCGAAACTAAGCCCGGTTGATTGACTGGTCGATGCTGGCGTAGTGCCGAAACTAAGCGTTTGGGCAGTTGTTGCGGCTGTAGTGCCAAAACTAAGCCCAGTTGCAGGACCTTGGAAACTAGAGGTTGTTGTTCCGAAACTAGGAGTGCTAGTTCCGAACGTAGGGGCTGATGTCGACGGTTGCGAGGTGCCAAAGCTCAATCCTGCACTGAAACCTGTTTGTTGTTGCTGAGTTGGCGGTGTCGAGAAGGATAGGCTGGTTGCCTGAGTGGCAGGTTGGATGGACGCCGGTTGGCTAGGTAAAGAAAAGGCTGCGGGTGTGGAACCGAAAGCTGGTGCTGGAAAAAAAATTCAAAGTATACATTAATAAATAGTAAAATATTTATTACAAAGCACAGGGCAAGAGATAGAAAATCCTTTGGTATGACCAGTATGGCAATCAACATACTAATACTATAAATGTGAAAGTTTGTAAATATACTTGAATGTGCATGCGTTTTTTTTTATAACACGGGGCAAACGTACAACTCCAGGAACATTATAGGTGTGTTGCTCGTCTTTTAAAAAGAAATATAGTTTTTTTTTCAAAGTTACGATGTCATATCTTTTTGAAACTCACGAACGTAACCTTCGTTCCAATAATACTCTCCAATTATCTTTCCCCTCTCACCATACTGGTTACGCTTCAAACTCTTTTCTCCTACATTCTTCACGACTCTGGAACGCGCTTTCTGATGCCATTAAGAGACTACCGACTAAACCGTCTTTCAAAAAAAGCGTTCACGCTCACTTTTTATTTTTATCCGAGCAATAAGTGCTTTATATTATTCCCAAATTCGTGTATAATATAGTATATATCATAAATGTGTAAGTATATTTGTTATTCATATATATTAATTCGTTTAAATATGTAATTTTAATATGTATGTATATCAATAACTACTAGTACCGCATTCGAGTATTCTGACACTTTCCTATGGTTGACTAGGAGAGAATGCTTTTAGCATTAAGTCCGCCATGTACACATATTTGTACTAATGAATGAATAAATAAATAAATAAATAAAATATCAGTTTGTAAATACTGCTGCTAGAAGTTGATACCAAAGTTGTGCGTGGAAGAAAGTGAATAGGAAAAAACGCACTGTAGAGGAATCCGCCCATACTTAATCGCACGCTCATGTCCATAGGTTAGAAAAAAATTCTATATGTATGAATGTAATTCGATATATTCAAACAGATAGGTGAAGCCGCGGGAAACAGTATTAGTCTAATATTTTATACTTCTTTAAGTTGGATAAAAATATTATTACCTGCACTAGTAGTAGTCGTGGCACCAAACGCTGGCGTAGTGTTACCACCGCCGAATGAGAAGGCCGAGGGTTTAGCGCCGAAAGCCGAGGTCTGGCCGAAGGCAGACGTGGTCGGCGTGGAGCCGAAGTTGCTAGTCGTTGTAGTTGAACCGAGGAAGCCGGACTGGGTTGTTTGTGGCGCTGTGGAAGTCGTTGCCTGCAAATATTTTATTCATAACAATGTTACATTATCTATACATATAATTGTAGAGATAGAGAAGATAGAGAGAGAATAAAAAACATACATAGAAAACAAAACGCTAATAACCGAGCCAGGGGGAGATGTTAGAAGTGAAATAGAACACATCCAGGTTTTTTAAATTTTTTGTTTCTCTGTCTGTTTGTACGGTCTAATCTCCAAAACTGTTGGACCGATTTAAATGAAATTTTGCATGGTGGTACCTTACATCCCCGGTCAACATTTCAGATACTCTTAATCACGGAAAACTAAAAACTTTCCGTGATATAGTTCAAAAACTAGTAACTTATACAACTTAGTACACAACTTAAGTAATTTTGACCTAAAGGCAAAGAGAACGACACGTCATTTGTTAATTTTGGTCCAGAATTCCCAGACATAGTTCACTACAATCAGGAGGTTAAAAATGTTAATTGAAAGGAATAACAAATACCACAAGTCGCAGGCATCAGCTAGTGTTGAATATTTTTATAAGTAATAAAGCGGCATCATAAACGATTTTTACAGAACACAGAAAAAGTATAAAAGAAAATAAATAATAATTGTCTAAAAATTATCAAATCTCATTGGTAAGGCATAATATATACAGTCCGTATATGAAATGAGATAAAAACATAGGGGGTCGTCTTACGACGTTTGCGTGTATGGGGATGCTGTTCAAGAACCTTTCCTCCCCATCGGTTGTTGGTTCTTCGAGCTTTGTGATTAGTCCATTGCCACTTTAGCTTGCTTAATTTTATTATATTAATCGTATATATAAAACTCTTGTGTCATGGTGTTTTTGGTCGAACTGCTCCGAAACGGCTCGACCGATTTCCATTAAAGTTTTCATGTATTTTAGGTAGGCGATATGAAATATACTTTACGACCTATTCTCATAATAGGTCGTAAAGTATATTTCATATCGCTAGCTGATTACGGTGTCTCAATCCAGAATAAACTATTTATATGGCAGAACAACATACGCGGAGTGAGTAAAGCCTAGTATCATTATCATCAGCCTTTAATTGTCCACTGCTGAACATAAGTCTCCACTTCAGGAGGTTTTTCCAGTAATTGCCACGCTTGGCAGGCGCATTGGCAAACCGCAGTTAGGCTTTGGAGATGTTTTAAGAGGGACGCCGCTGCCCATCCCTCGCCCTCACTTAGTCGCCTCTTGCGACACCAACGGGAAAGGAACGGATGGCCTATTCTATGTCAGGACCACACTAGGTAGTGAGCTATTATAATACTCACAGTGGTAGCTGGCTGTGGTGCGGAAAATCCAGATGTCGGCGTCGAAAAGCTCATTGCTGACTTCCCGAAGGAGAATGAGCCCGTTCCGAACGACGTACTCGCTGCCGGTCACATTGGTAAAAATACTATTATTTAATTTTTCTATAACTAGCTATATCCCACGGCTTTACCCACGTGAATCAGTATATAAAGTATCCTATGTGCTAAGTCAGGCTATAACCTACCCATGTACCAAACTTCATACAAATCCGTTTAGTAGTTTTTGCGTGAAAGAATAATAAACATCGATCCATCCATCGTTACAAAGTTTCACATTTATTATATTAATAGGATTTACTGTATATATATTTTAAGATTTTGTTCCACAAACTTCAATCGTGGTAAAATCATTTACTTTGGTTTAAAAACTAACTAAATTGATTTTGATAAAACTTGTATGGGATCAATTCGAATTTATTTCTTAGATAAAAATGAACTTTCCGTAGCTGTTTATGAGGTAACATAAAAAAAAAATCGAATTGAAAACCTCCACCTTAATTTGAAATCGTTTGAAAATTATAAATATATGTAACTAGAAAAACAATATATCTTTTTGTTTCTTAGATAATTTATAAATATATATGAATTTTGCAACTTGAGTAAATGTAATTGAAAATAACAAAAATAAAAAAAAAATGCTTATTAAAGCTAATATGAAATATTAATTTATCTATCTACCCGTGAGAAATCGGGGTGTATCGTTAAACAATTAAGAACTACTAAATAAAGCATTAAGAAACTGAATTAATCTAGGAAACAATACCTTGTGTTGCTGTTGGCTGTTGTTGGGCCCCAAATGAAAGATTCTGTGGCGCATTCTTAAAAAAGGAGAAAAAAAAATACTATTATTTTATTTCAACTTTAATATAAGTGAACATAATGATGGACTTAACTCTCTCTATCTCTCTCGTTTCAATCAACCAAAGCGCTAACAGGAAAGAGAATTATAACTTAAATTCTAAAATATTTCCATACATGTAGATCTATTAGGTCATACTATTATCACTAGTAGGTCAAAGGTCATATCAGCCGTTTACTGTCCACTGCTGAACACAGGTTTCCCCCTTGGGGAGTTTTACCAGTAGTTGCTATACTTGATACGGGTTGGCAAATACAGTTAGGTTTCAGTGACGTTTAAAGAGGGACGCTGCTACCCATCCTTCAACTATTAATTCCCCTTAATCGCCTCTTACGACACCCAAGGGAAATGAAGAGATGGCCCACTCTATGCTGGAACCGAATGGCCTATTGTAGACTCATGTGTTATTCTACTGCTAGTTCAAGAAATAAGTTTCAGTCAAAAATTACTATTCTGGAAATGACCTTGGTTTTTTTTTGATGGGTGAAAATGGTATGGTAACTCCACCTGTGCTAACGGGATACCCTGGTGGAGCACCAGTGAAGGTAATAGATGGGAATGAAAACAGGTCAGTTAGCCCATCAGGATGAATTTATCAGGAATTAACCATGATAGTTTCCAAGGGGAACTGCGAGGAGGTTAAACTGGTTGGGTATATTGCTAGCAATGGGATTCTCAGTCTCCCTTACTAACAATCCCTTTCCCCCCTAATCACCCTGGTTAATTCTTTGTGACTTCATCACAATAGGACAACTGTTTCGTCTTTATCCCCACATATCATAACTGACCGATACTTTGTCAGTATACCGATGGCGTTGACACGGTATTTCAATATTCACAAAAATAAGTATTTTGAAAAATACTACCTGTCCCGATTGCTGCCCGAAGGCAGGACTACCGACGGTTTGATTGGGCGGCGACTGGAAGCCACCGAAGCTGACAGGTTTACTGGCACTTCCAAATGTCGGTGTTGCGCTTGCAGTTGTCGTCGTTGGACTTGCAACTGAAGTACATATTATTATTTGAACATGTATATCGCTTCACTAACCTCAGGAATAAGAGAGAGATGGTATTTTTACTATACGTACTAAGCAATTAATAGAAATATTTATTCTATTTATTTTTTGTATAACTACCTACTAGAAAAATAAAAACGTAAGAGTTTTGGAATATGCAAATTAAGACTATTCGTATCTTACTTGGAATAGTTTCAAATCGACAGCAGAATAGTTGCTGAGATGTAGAATAGTAATAAACACTATATACAGACAGATAGATAGATCGAAAAGTTCTCATAAGGAGCTGAAATATAGTGATAAAATTTAAGTAGAAACTTCTCAAGCCATTAGTAATTCAGATAATGTTTATGATTTACAGCCAATTAATACTTTATTAGAAAGACTGTATGTGCACACTTTGAATAACTTTTCTAAAAAAGATTAAAATTAAAAAAAAAAAAAGAATAAAAGGTAACCAAAACTGGAACACGACAAGCAACAATTTATGTAACATAATATAACAAAGAACTACAGTCAAATTGAGAATATTATGTACCTTATTTATACTTTTTAGTCACTTAAAAATATAATTAAGTTGTTTGGATAATCTAGAAACAGTGCAAACACAAAATTGTCTTTGGACATACTTACACCTTTTCTTTGGACTTGATGAAAATTTAAACATTTTGATAATTATTAACACCTTATATTGAAAATAAAATTACAATAAACAAATTAAAATAATTAATAATCATGACAACACAGTTAAAATAAAATAAATTAATAATTATTATTTTAGAATTCACACACACATAGTACCTATTTCATATTGACAAGGAAGAATATTCTTAACTTGGTACCCACATGGTATTGGATTATATTTATCTTTTTTAATTTCATATTTGTCACACACGAGGCAAAGGAACAAATTGGTACTAGTAAATAACATGAAACTGCAGTCTTATTCCATTTAAGATTTAGATGGATCTTGGATTTTTAACTTTCTAGTTATTATAAGTATTTACCTACAGAGTAAGTTATGTTAATAAGTGTCAGTTTACTGTGTAAGTAAATATTTATTTTTGAAATATGGAATAATAAATAACTGAATGAGACTGATGTAAAGTGATAACCTTTGTCTATGAACAGCATAGCATATGATGCATTATCATTCCTGAGGATTTTTTTATACCACAAAGGTGGCAAACAAACATACTACCCATCGATGATAAATGGTTACTGTAGCCTATGTAGACACTGACTTCTAGTGTTGTATGTAGACACCTACAACACTAGAAGTATCATATGTGTGTTGCTGACCTTGAGAAAAATTTAAGAAAGGTTCCTCCTTCCTTTTTGAGGAACCCCATACTGTCGTCTTATGTTATAGATTAAGATCTTATGGCTTAGTACCCTATGATTTCTCTCTCCAAATTAAAATACAGCCACTACAGCTTCTTTTTTCTAAAAGAAGAAAATTTTATGTGGTAGAGATGACTATGGTTTTTTTATGTGATGATAATGTAATGGTAACCTTGCCTAGGCTATCGGTATATGCTGACGGGGCATCAGTGAAGGACGATAGGTGAGAATTAAACAGGTTAGTTGGCTCGTAGTGGCAAATTTATAAATAACTAACCAAGGTGGTTACCAGGGGGTAAATTAGCCCATTGTGATGAATACACCTGGAATTAGGCACAATGATTTCCAGGACTGCTGGAAGGGTGACTTTACAATGCAGGGTGTATTGCTAGCAATGAGGTTAGTAGTCCCTATTAGAATAATCCATTTCCCTTCATGACTATGGTTTGAAGCCTGTGATATGTACTTACACAGAGAAGATGTAGCTGCTGTGGTTTTAGCTCCAAAGGCGAATCCACCAAAAGCAGGTGGGTTTGTTGTAGATGAGCTCGTAGGACTGGTGAAGTTGAATGCTGGCTTATTTTCTGTCAATGGCCATGGTTATAAATTATTTTTATATTGAAGATTGAGTTGTATATAAAATGTTACATTCAGCACAATAGTCTTCATTAACATATCAACCATTAACGGTCCATTACTAAATATAGGCTTGGCAACAATAAATAGACTGGTGATATTTTAAGAGAGACGTTGCAGATACTATGCTGACATCTCACAGCATCACAAAGGTAATCATCAACAATTATTGTCATATATATTTTTGTAGTTGGCAATTTATGTTGCAGAACATCTGTTCTTCTCGTAACTTTAAATCAGCAGCGAACTTGCAATAATAATAAAGAATTCTATTATTATATTACAAATACTGTAGGGAAGCTTCATCACATATCATCATTAAAAAATATACTTTTTTAGATAAGTTATTTTTGAAAACTTACCATTATTGGTAGATCCAAATAAGGGCTTAGATGCATCACCACTTCCAAACGAGAAACCTGATAAATTTATGAATGAACGATATTGAAATCATAATTAAAAACACATTATAGGAGAAAAAAAAACTATTACTTTATGATTTGTTAAAACGTAAAACATAAGATGTGTACTGAAACATTTAACGGAATATATTCCAAGAAAGATTACCAACTCAAAAATCACTTGTACGAAGTACAAACATAACCTCAATAGATTATTTTTATTAGGGAAGTTATTCATAACAATTAGCTATATTTATGTATTATCGATATTTATAAAATACTTATAAAGTTTCAAAATTATAGTAGGAATTATGTATTTTTAATTTTACCAGTGCTAGGGGTGGTTGTTCCGAAAGTCCCGCCGGAGGTCGTAGTAGTTGATCCAAAGGTGAAACTCATCGTTTATTAATTAAAGTCTTCCTTAATAAATAAAAACAATACAAACTTTGTATAAACAGTCAATAAAATTGATTGAATAGAGAAGTATTTTTAATGCTAATAATCACGCTATGAGAAATATCAACATTATCAACAAACAAAATAAATGTCATCCAAATGTCAATGTCAACTGTCTAATTTTGCGCTGAGCTTAGATGCGGTTGCCATCATTGATTTATAATTTGTTGCTATTATTTAAAAAAAATATTTTTTGATTTTTATTATTTATATTTTGAAAAAGCATTGATTAGAATAAATGTATTAGCCTAATCTTTAAATTTTTAAATATCAAAGCAGTATCAAAGTTAGTTAGTTAGTTCTCGTAGTAGTTAAAATTACTTTCTCTTTTAACTACCTAGTGTAATTATTAAATTGATTCCAACACCAGCTAGGGCCTTTTTAGGGAAAACTAGGGATATATAATATCTAATTTCATGAAAAAACGTTATCAATATCTTGTTCTAATAAATTTAATATTTAGGTACTTAATTATAAAATATCACGCCGATTGCCTTACCAATATCATATTATAGATATAATAGATATCATATAATAGATGTTTATTACAAATATATATTATATGATCATATTATTATATACCTAAAACGATTACTTCTGGTAAAGCCCCCAAGGGAAGGTCTTTGTTCAGTAGTGGACAGTTAACGGCTAATATAATGATGATGATATTTCAGGCGGAAAGGATTTGTTAGGGCTTAAGGGCTTAATAGCTACATTGCCAATAATATTTGTACCCTACCAGGTCGACTTCTATGCGTTTCCACTTGGATAGCACCGTTATAAGTATTATATTTTTAATGGATGATAGAGTAATTAGCCCGCCTGCGTTAACGGTATACGCTGGCGGGGTACCAGTGCGAAATGATAGGTGAGAAGGAAAGGCAGATCAGTTAGCCTATCGTGTGGAATACACCTGGAATTACACACGATGGTTTCCAGGGGGGACCACCTGAAGATCGATCTGCTAGGGTACATTGGTACATAATCCCGGGGGAAAGAAATTGTTAGTAATGGGGTCTAAGTGCCCCATTGCTAGCAATACACCATATCAGGTCGACCACCACGTGGTTTCTCAGTGCCTGGTGCCTCGCCAGCGTATACCGATAGCGCAGGTAGGATTACTGTTTCATTCTTACCCATTAAAAAGTATGATTATTTCATAATCACTGTATGAATTAAACAATGATATTATGCACTTTTGTTTGATAAACTATTAGCTAGCAATTAGGGAACCAGAAAAATTCATAATCGAGAAATGGGCAGAAGCGTTCCTCTAAAACACCGTTAAAGCCTTAGTGCAGTTACTAACTCTCTTGCCGAACGTGGCAACTGTTGGCAAAACTCTCTTTTTGGGGAAGGCTTATATAATATAATATAAAAAAAAAAAACAGTTAACGGCTGGTATAATAAAAAAAAAACAGATAAATAGGTATAATGTAAACAGGCATTCATTTTATATTTTGATATTCTAAATGTAAATGTGGGTTTGTTTGTTAACTTTTAGTAACTGCTTAAACATAGTGGAATTTGGTATGATTTGCAGAAGGACGTAGGCTACATTATCTACTTATATTTACCAGAGGGAGAATTTGTACAAAATTCATTTGCTTGGGCACTTCTGTTCCATTCGTGTTTCTACCGTGAAATTGTTGTTTGCATGGCTGTGTTTCACTTTGAAGAATAGTATATGACAGTGAATTTACAGGGTACAGAGGAATAACACCTGAGTCCCTGAGAATGGCAACGCATGGGGGGTATCGTGGGCGAAACGGTATACTTTGTTATATCCATGGTACTACTCATGTTTAAGGCGACGGTTACCACTTTCCATCAGGTGGGCCGTCAGCTTGTTTGCCATTCTAAGTAGCATAAAAAAACCTAGATCAGTGAACATATCCTGGTAAAGTGGACTAAGTCGCGAGTAGAGGCTAGTTAATCCTAAGCATACCTAATTCTACATTTGATTAGGCTTCCAATCTATATTAATTCAGTGAATCCATATAAAAGCATGTTTGTACGTAACCTACTGCCCATAAAATCGGTTTAAACACCCAAATCTAGGTCTGGCATTACGCCAGACCTCGTAGCGATAGTTGCAAATCATCCCTAGTGCCTATTCTATGTAAACGACGTGTAAACAAGCCAGATTGTAAAGAACGAGTGTTGGATTTATAGGCGAATCCAATTGTTCAAGAGGAATATGATTAGTACCATGATTGTTTGGATAGTGCAGGGCAAAGATATTACGCTTCGCTGCCTGCGTTATTTTTGCAACAGAGGTATCATCCTGTTTGCGCTATCGTATATGCTGTCGCGGTAACAGAGAAGGATTTTTTTAATGGATGATGACGAAAAGATAATCCTGCCTGATCTAATAGTATATGCTGGCAGGGCACTAGTGAGGTGTAATAGGGGAGAAAGAAAATACAGATTTTTTTAAGAATGTTTTTTTTTTATACAACTTAGAATGGCAAACAAGCTGACGGCCCACCTGATGGAAAGTGGTAACCGTTGCCTATAGACATGAGCAATACCATGTACATAACAGAGTATACTGTTTCGCCCATGATATACCCCATGCGTTGCCATTCTTGAGGACTCAGGTGTTATTCCTCTGTACCCAGTAAATTCACGCCATATCCCACCATTCAAAACATTCGAAACACAGCCATGCAAACACAACTGCTTCACGGTTGACACACGAATGGGACAGATGTACCCAAGCAATCGACTTTTGTACAAAGTCTCCCTCTGGTAAAGGTAAGTGCATAAATACAACATGATGAAAACACCTGGAGATCGGCACGATGGTTTGCTAGTAATGAGACTAATAGTCCCTTCTACCCTCTATTTCATGTAGCAGACACGTGTATACTAAATTTCATAGTGATTAAGTCGTTAAAGTGCTGAGAGTTAAACAAATAATCTTAACTCTATATTTGTAGTACCTGTATGTTAAACCTTATCTTAACAATATAATAAAATTGTAATTAGAAAATATCTGTACATGACAGATATTTAAGAAAAATTATGAGGGATCTCACTAAGATCAATAGATGCTAAAACAATACATTTTAGAAATTATGACTGTATGATTTTGTATTTTGTTCTGGTATCTTGCAAATATGCGAAATACATTAAATAAATAATAATGAAGATAGATGCACTAAATTGGATGCGGTTTTCACAGTTATGTTTCTGATGGTTTTATTTAAAAACTAAAGGTCTACCACGAAATAAAATTCCGAAATTTCGAACTCAATTTTGTATTTTGGTTCGCACCGAAATCGGCCTAGTAAATGGTGCGTAACATTTTGTTCATTATAAACCTTACCAGAACCTTAGTCAGGAGGAACGATATTTCAATATCTGTCTCGCCTGTCTCCCGATATTTTAACATTTGTAAACGGTATGTATTATGTAATTTTAACATCAAATTTGTGTTTCGTTCGGCCCCGAAATTTCCAAAAACATTTCATGGTAGACCCTCTGGTGTATGTTTTACAATGATACGCCATCTAGAAGTGGTTTAGGGTCTACCATGAAATGAAATTCCGAATTTTCGGACTCAATTTCGTGTATTTGTTAATACCGATATGGATCCAGTAAATGGAGCTTAACACTTCCTTTGTCATAAATCCTACCATTAAAGTCCAAAGGAACAATATTTTAGCATTTTTAAACTTTATGTATCATGTAATTTTAATATCAAATTTGTACTTCGTCCGGACCCGAAATTTTGGAAAACATTTTATGGTAGACCCTCAGTTTCATTGGTTTTCTACCTATGAATTCCATGCGTACGAAGTAACGGGCATGAGACTAGTTTATAATATTACTGTAAGGATTAAAATGTGTATAAAATATCATCGTTGTAACACAATTTCAGTGAGGTATTCGATAGCCTTTTGTAATGGCCGCGTAGTAATGATTCAGACTTGCGGTTCGTTTAGGAAACGGACCGTTCAATTAGACAGCGGGTATTTGAAACCGCAAAATTTTAGAACGCTCGCTATGTTTGTACCCTCTGTGCTTAAAGTTCATTGTTGTCAGTATGAAACCAGTCGAGATATAAATTGTATTATTAACTAACCATTTATTAACTAACTTTTACCCGCGGATTTGTCCCTGTGACCGGGATATAATTTAGTAGCACGGGAGCAAAGCCGCGTGATACAGCTGGTAAAGAATATCTAAATATTCTATAATTAGTAAAAGGTATCTTAATAAGTTAGTACCCAGTTAACCATTTGTTTATTGTTTGTCACGGCTAAACTGTTGAAGTATTTCAATAGAAATCGGATCGATGGTGTTGCGAGAAATGATTCTAAGAATTATTTATTAATTTATTAGAAATTACACGCCTCAGTTTGCGTAATTTAAGTTTTGCGTAAGTTGTATTTGATACGAAATATTTATTCATTAATTTCATAAAATGATATCATTTTGTTTATTTCTATTTATTTTTAACTTGTGGTACAACAGACATTTCCAAAGGCAAGGCAATTAATCAATAATTGTAAACAGGTGCTTGCGCATCATAAAAAAAAAAATAAAAAAAAATACAACTGGCAACACTACATCAATAGGAATGTGCACTTAATTTAAATAACAATTTTTATTTAAACAATGTTGTATCTAGGTCTGGGTACAAATGGCACGGGATTAGCGTCTGGCGAGAGGAGCAGCCTCACATTCACGTTGGCTCTCCTCCATCTGTTCCACATAACGTAATGGTCCTTCCATAACAAGTACACGGTGACTGAGTACCCACAAAGCACTATCGAAGAAGTCCATGAATTCTGAAAAGAATCCATACGGCCCACCTGATGGTAAGTGGTTACTGTCTCTGTAATACCTGTATTCCACCTGTAATACGCGTGATACCTGTCTAAGAAGAATATTATTTTTTGTATTTTTAAACTATAAAAAGCTGCCTCGGCTGTTGCACATATAGCAACAGCTAAGGCGGCTCCGATCACCAGCAAAATGCACAAATTTTTTCTCTTTATTTTTGTAATTTAAACTGCAACTATTATGTTTTATTTTTGTTGGTAATAAAGGATCTATCCAAATAGTAATTACGTGAAATTTGATAATTTTGATAACTATCATAAACTAAAATTGTAATATTTTTTTCTTAAGTCTATTAGAAAGTTAGTTCATATTGGTTCTTAAAAGAAAGATTTCGTTGTGACATTAAATTGAGATTTAAGGGATGGGTTTAGAGTACAAATTTAAAGGAGGCTCAGGAATCACTAATCCCAATTTTTTTTTTATTCCACTGAGGTGGCAAACAAGCATACGACCCACCTGATGGTAAGTGGTTACCGTAGTCTATGAACACCTGCAATACCAGAGGTATTACGCGTGCGTTGCCGACCCTGAAGAAACCTCTTTACCCACCTTTTGAAGAACCCCATGCTGTAGTCTCTTGGGAAAACCTCAGCAAAGAGCTCATTCCACAACCTGAGTGTTATTCTTTATTGTACACAGAAAATTACAAACATATAATATATATTAAATAAAGATGTACAACAGGCGAGCTTAACTCTGTAAGAGTTGTCTTCCAGCGAACCTTGAGAATTTAATTCAAATATAATGAAACCGAATAGAGTAGAAAGCAGAGAAGTTATTTTAAATGTCAGTTCTCAATATATTGATGTAAAAATTCTCTATCTAACATAGAAAAGGCAATATTTGTAAGTAAAAAGAAATGTTTACAACTATTTTATAAATGTCAATAAGAAAATATTGGTGGTTATCCATCAGTTTTGTGTGTACGTCGTTGCCAGATCTTAGAAACGTTCACTTTATGATGTGGCCGACCATTTTATGAAGTGTTTGTAAGTACATTAGTGATCATATCGTAAAATAGTTACATTGTCCACCGATAGAGGCGCTGATATGTATATATTATTTGATATCTACGCCGATTTTAAATTTTCAATATTTTTTTTTATAATCCATAGGATTCTATATTAATTTATATGTATAATAATATATTTGTTATTGCAGAATAGGACTGTAGATTAGAGTTTGCGAAACTACGTACGACATATAGAATAAATTATGCTTTAGCGAAAATAAAGATAAGTAAAACTGAAAAACTTAATTAAAGGTTAGAAAATAATAATAAAATGAAGCCTTTTCTGAGAACAATATCAAGTTATATTAAAGTCGTTGAACAAAAGCTGTACTTTTTAATTATAAGGATTCAGAGCTAAGATGATGTTGGTATTTTTAATTATATCACATTTTACATTTAATTTAAAAAAAAAAAAACGATGTAAAATTTAATTTAAATGTTCTTGTTGCCAATTGGAAAATAAAAAAGAAGATTAAATATACAGAAGTATGTCTATGCAACATAAAAAGTGCCTATAGCAAAAGAATCATGATTTTTTTTTATTATGAAACAAACTCAGATAACTCAGTTCCGAGTTCTGTGTAGCGTGATGATATTGTCAGACTTCTTTCTTTATGGGGACATTAAATTCGTTGAGAAGTTTCGCCATAAACAAGACGTAAAAGGCATGACAACGTATCTCGTATTGTTAGAATTTCCTTTTGCTTTTAATTGGTCCAAAGGAAACTTAATCAAAGGTCGTAATGGAAATTGGTAATTCCTCTTTACCGCGGCATTCCACGATTCTGTGAATTTAGACAAATCTACATTATAGAGAAAGCATGAATTAAATTTTCCTTGTGATAAAATAAAACAAGGAATAGCTACAGTAAATATTTTTTTTTTTTTTTACAACACAGGGGGCAAACGAGCATGCGGCTCACCTGATGGTAAGTGACTACCGCCGCCCATGATCACCCACAACACCAGCGGCATTGCAGGTGTGCTGCCGGCCTTTTAAAAAGGAATATACTCTTTTCTTGAAGGTTATGTTGTCGTATCGGTTCGAAAATACTGCTGCTGGAAGTTGATTCCAAAGAATGGTTGTGCGTGGAAGAAAGTGCCTTGAAAAACGCACGGTGGAAGACCGCCACTCGTCCAGATGATTGGGATGAAACTTTAATTTGTGGCGGGTTGTACGGTGGTGAAAATCAGCAGCAGGTATCAATCCGAACAATTCCTCAGAACACTCCCCATGATAAATTCGGTAGAAGATGCACAGAGATGCAACATCTCTGCGCAGTTTCAGTGTGTCAAGTCGGACAGTAATTATTGTATAGTAATGATTATATAGTATTGAACACTATCTTACCGCTGTATAAAAAATATTATCAAAGAAGCCTAGGCTTTGTGCCTTTTCTACTGAAAACAAACTACTTGTATTTATTGAAAACTTTGGCGTAGGCTCGCGTCGGTTGGATACTATGAAACCAGTTCAATGACTTTCGGAAATTTTACAGTTATAAAGTTAGTCTTTTATTATACTTATCAATATTGATATTTTGAATAGAAAGGTATTATAAATAGTTGTTTCATATAATGAATATTAATTTATTTTACTGCGTTGATACTTTTAGTTGGTCGCTTAGATACATTTTGTTAGCAAGTAGACCGCATTCTTTCTATGTATATGAACCATTGTGTTGCGTGAAACAATCCAATGTGAAAGAAAGAACCCAACTATTATTATAATAATATGTAAAATTTAAAAATATAAAAAGTTGGTTTTGGCAACCTTAATAAAGAATTATTTATTATTATTTTGTCAGTATGAAGGCAGTAACGATTCTTAAATGTCGCAGTGATTGCTTGTTCTGTGTATTCATGCAAAAAAATGATAAAAAAGAAAGTCGAATAAAAAATCTTAAAACACACCTTCCTCTTTTCTAGCACCTGCAGCTAGCTTACCAAATTTGTTGCCCTCGATTACAAAGTACTGTGTGCCAACGATGCATACCGCGAGTAGGCCAGCTGTCACGGTGGATAGTAGCCAGAATATGAGGCAGTCCGACTATAAACGAAAATAATCCTTATTAGTATTCAAAATTGGATTCAAATTAGTAAAACTTATTAGTGTTATAAATTCGATTTAGTAGAACTTCCAGTATATGAATTAATACGTCGTTTTATTTTTACTATAAGTAGCTGTACAATTCTTGAAATCAGTTTACGAGCATAGAATATTAATATGGCTGGTATGTTAGTATTGCTATTTTTATGTATACCGAACAAGTATACGACTTGCCTGATGTACTTGAAGGGGTTACTGTAGCCTATAGACATCCTGAAAGTATTGGCGTTTTCTTAAGGGATAAAAATTAAATACATATATATAATATTAAAAACCAAGTAATGAATTAGTGAAAAAATCAATTATTAAACATCACATAATTTATTTCTAACTAATTTATACCTGCGACTTTGTCTGCGTGACAAGGATGTGTTGATCGACAAGGGTAAAAGTATCCCTATATCTTTCTCAATCTCAAATACTGTGTCTACATGCATACCAATTTAATAACGATTGAAAGAGACTACAGACAAAAAAAATATCATATTTTTAATATGAAATAACATTGATTAGATCAACATGACCAGAGCTTATTTGTACAAAGATTTATCTTTTGTGACATATATTTTCTTGAGTTAAGTACAATTCTGTCAAAGATTAATGTTATTAGTCCAAAAGACAGATGTAAGTAATTCAAGACTAAGCAATCTTAATGCCTAGCCTAGATACTTATTTATGTTAGAGCCATGGATTTGCTGTGACAGTGTTGTATCACCAGAATATATCATTACATTTCGTTCGACAACAATTTGAAGGTACGTCTATTTGCGTCGTAACTTGCAAATAACTTTTATCAAAAAGTGAAAAAACTTTTATTTATAAAAAAATATACGCAGTTCGGAATGAAATCAGAAAGTAAAACTAAATAAAATATATCTATCAAAAGGGTGCAAAAGTAATTTTTGCGTGAATTTTGTAGGCACCTAGGTAGTTATATATAATGCCACAAAAGTATATATTTGCAGACATACATATATAGGTGCATTAATTCCTAAAAATGATTGATTTACATTTTTTTGCCTTCCTGCGTAGTTAATTATGGCAAAAAGTATTGATTTTTGCTCCTAGTAATTATTTATACACAAGTGTTACACATAAACAAGTACAGCTGCTTCACAACAGGTACATGAGTGGACAGTGGTTCTCAAGCAGATGACTATTCTAATATACAACTGTAGAAAAACATCTATAATAACATATTTATTATACCTATAAATAAAATGTAGAAATATATGAACATGTCATATCAATACAAAATTATCGAGAGACAGCTAATATAAGCGTCGACGCGTGAACGATACTAGCTCAATAAGTGACAAGCGATGGACAGAAATCCAATATGCGCGTGTCGCTTCACGTCAAGTGACGCGTCAGCCATCTTGGGTGACGTCGGGGCGACCTCTGCGGTCAGCGTCGTGAAATATTGTTTCGGCGGCGTCGTGAGACTTTGTACAAAAGTATTGTTTCAACCGTCTGTGTTTCGGTTTGAAGGGTGGGATATGCGTGAATTTACTGGACAGAGGAATAACACCTGAGTCCTCAGGAATGGCAACGCATGGGGGTATCATGGGCGAAACAGTATACTCTGTTATGTCCATGGTACTGCTCATGTCTATAGGCGACGGTTACCACTTTCCATTACCACTCCATCAGGTGGGCCGTCAGCTTGTTTGCCATTCTAAGTTCTATAAAAAAAAAAAAAAAAAAAAAAAAAAAAAAAAAAAAAAAAAAAATACGACATAATTCTAGTTATTTTATAAAAACTGCATGTGGAATAAAGCTAGGTATTATTAATTTTATTACGTAGCAGGTATGTACTTTTCTATTCTTGGCATTGTTTTATAGACATGACAGTGGATAAAATAGCTAAATTGGAAAGGAGTTTGTAATTTTTTTAATAAAATAACTATTATATCTGCCATTAACTGTCCATTGCTGAACATTAAGGCCTTCACCATAAGGGGAGTTTTGCCGCAGTTAAGCTTGGTGATGTTTTAAGAGGGACACTGCTACGCACCCTTCGACCATTAGGTTATTAAATAATTACGGAAATTTTAAAGTGGGATTTAACATCCTTATTGGTTTACGCTAATGAGGTACCAGTGATGTAGTTCATTCTCTTTATAGTTGGTCGTATTCATGAATCGTGTTGTCTCTGTGTTTGCTCAAGATGGAGACCACTCCATGTCGTCTAATAATAAAAAAAATATGATTAGGGGAGATGATTAGTAAAGGGATCTAACGGGGGGAAGGGGTTGTTAGTAATGTGGACTACCAATTCTATTGCAAACAGTACGCTGTCAGGTCGACCTCTACGTGGATATCATCGTGCTGAATATCGTGTGTATTCATCACGATGGACTCAGTTAGTCCCTGAAAGTAGTAACCGTCGCTTATAGACATGGACAGTATCATGGACATAACAGAATATACTGTGTCGCTCATGACATCTGTCACCCGTTGCGATTCCTGGGGACTGAGGTGTTATACGGACATGCAAACACAACTGCTTCACGGCAGATACATAAATAGTACTTATATCTTTGGAGCAGTTTTAAAATATAATAGTTTAATATAAAAGTTATTTTAAATAATTGCAATTTATGACTGTAAAAATCAACCATGACATTACATATATTATTCATAATTATAATATAACGTCATCAATTTCATTAATGTTATTTCTTAAATATCACTGTATAATTTTATTATTTCTAAAAGTAATATTTACACACTTATGTAATTAATTTTAAGATTTGCTACTAGCAATTACCAATAATAATAATATAATATTGTTTATTATCAGGTACTTAACCCATAGAGGTACAATTGTATTACAACGTGTACGGATAACATATAAAAATATAACAATTAAAACATACAAAAAAAAAACATAGAAATTAAAATATGTAGAAAATTAAAAAAAAAGTAAAGTAAATAATATAGCAAACGCAGTTATTAGATAAAAAACAAGAGAACATTATTTAATGTTCCTGTCTTGGTGCACGGACAACCAATACTTTTGACTATATTTAGTAAATAAAAAATCTTTTATCCATTCATTGGGTTCCCAAGTGTTTTCGGAAATTGAAGGCCAATGCTTGTTCGGAGGTTGTCTGAGCGAACCTTCGATTATATCAGACGCGTGTTCATACATTGACGCGATATGACGCGACATGAGCATATTGAGTTTCGTGCCTATCCCTCTTTCGCGTTATCCCACTTTCGTCAGATTTATGAGTACATAGAGACATATTATCTTTAATTAATGCATTTTTTTCTCTATAATCTTTCTAATGTTATAAAGCACCTCTCTTCAGTTATATCAGCCGTTAGCTGTCCACTGCTGGACATAGGCCTCTTCCATAAGGGGGTTTGCCAATAGTTGTCATGCTTGGCAGATGGATAGGCAACCGTAGTTAGGTTTTTGGCGATGTTTAAAGAGGGACGTTGCTGCCCATCCCTTGACCATTAAGTTTCTTAAGTCGCCTTTTTTTTATACAACTTAGAATGGCAAACAAGCTGACGGCCCACCTTATGAAAAGTGGTAACCGTCGCCTATAGACATGAGCAATACCATGGATATAATATACTGTTTTGCCCATGATGCCCCCCATGCGTTGTCATTCCTGAGGACTCAGGTGTCATTCCTCTGTACCCAGTAAATTCACGCCATATCCCATTCTTCAAACCGAAACACAGCTATGCAAACAAAACTGCTTCACGGTTAAAACACGAATGGGAGAGAGGTACCCAAACAATCGACTTTTGTACAAAGTCTCAAAAGAAGAATAAAACACCTAAAAGAAGATATAACACCTTGGATGGGATGGGCAATCCTATAAGGGATGGGCAATCCTATAAGGGATGGGCAGCAGCGTCTCTCTAAAAACATCTAAAATGCTTAACTGCGGTTACCGATACGCCTACCAAGCGTGGCAACTACTGTCAAACCCCCCCAAGGGGGAGGCTTATGCTCAGCAGTGGGCAGTTAAAGGCTGACATGATAATGATGATGGTAATCTAAGACATAGAATAGTTTATATAGTGATGCACGCAGGTATGCTTGCATGCAGGCAACGCCGCGGGAAAGAGATAGTAATAATTGAGAGTATACGTAGGTATGATATAATATTAATTTCATAGTTAACATACAACAACAGTACTCAATAAACAGAATTAGTATTACGTAGACTCCAAATTAATTGCCACTAATCTGGGCTATGATTAAGCCTACTCACACATTATGCGATTTATACACAATCATTAACTTATTTTTAAATTGGCCAAATTAATTAGTTTTGCATGAGTGTAAATGAGAATGTATCGGATGTATTGGTATATATAAGCCTTCCGTAAAGAACTATCAAAATGACAGTGAAACCTGTATCAAATGCGTTACGTGAGTTTTAAATGAAGAAAAGATATAGGCGACGTGCTGAAGAAGGGCCAAATTAAAAGTACCCGTACTGGCGAGCGTGTACGAAAAGATTGATGAATGTGGAAGAAGCGAAAGAGGTTTGTTTGAATCGAAGAATTTGGCGTTCCATTGTTTCTGCCTACCCTAATGGGAGACAGGCATGACAGATATGTATGTATGTATGTAAAAGAAATAAACAGACGCAGATTACAATTTATTTTACATTAATTAGAAATAAACACATTACTCTAAAAAAATCTTGTAATTATAACAAAATTCATAAGAGACCAACACGGGAGTATATTCTATTGACTGCAAAAATAATTTATAAAACCTGTTGGGATTTTCTGAAGATAGATATCCTGTAAAGTGCATACTAAAATATAGACCAGCTTATTAACCAAATCGATAGTGGCACTATTATTATCACGATTCAGTTCACGATTAGTAGAGCCGATCAATACAGTAGATACCGTACTGTATCCTCATATTGTCCCATCTAACCAAGTTGTCAATTCAC